TTATATTATTATAATTTTAAACTTATTATTAATTTAGTAATTATGATTATTTTTACTATCCTTAATATTGTCTTTGAATGTTTTTATATAAAAATTTCTTAATAACTTTCTTTTATATTTCTTTGACTCTTTTTAGATTTATTGATTTTCCTATTTTTATTATTATTATTATAATATTTTGAAAGGGTTAACCTTTATTTAAAAAAATTATTAGTTTACCCCTTTTCATTTTTAAAATTTCACTTATCTTGCAACTTTCTAAAAAGTATTTGCTTTCTTAACACTTTTTATTTTATTGTTTTTGATGTTTTGAATAGAAAATAAAATAAGAAATATAAGTATAAAAATCAATAATTAAATTTGTTTTAATTTATAAAATCTATACAAAAAATGAATAAACATATAAAAACTCAAAAAATTAATTAATATTATTTTTTTACTATTATATTTATATAAAACCTTTTGACAAAGTGTTGCTTTTTCGAAAGAAAGCAAAATATTTACTAGATTATTTGTATTATCTTATTGATTTTTTAGCTATTAATTCTATTTAAGTTATTTTTTTCAACTCTTACATGACATCTCCAATTTTAATCAAATTTATTTTGTTTTTTTTAATTAAAAAAAATAATTATTTGTGAAATTAAGTAATAAAAAGCATTTTTATATGAATGGAAATTTATTTTACTTATTAACTTATATTTTTTTATTTCTACTTCCATAAATTTATTTTCTTTTTTAGCCATTAATTTTCTAATATACAAATTGTTTATATAATTACTAAAATACTTATGTCATTTAATTTAAATTTGAAGCTTTTTTTCTTCAATTTTTTAATTTTCAAAAATCTTAAAATTTAACTTTGTGTTTTAACTAAGACTCAAAATATAGAAAATTATAATTTATACAGGCTTAAATTACAGTATTTAATATTTATATCTTAATGAAAGGAGAATAAAAAAGGAAACTGATTTATTAATATATATTTTTAGAATGGTACAAATTAAATAAGAATAATTAAAAAAGAAAATCAATAATTTTTTTTAATTCAACAAAATTATTAATTTCTGATCATAATTAATTAATTTATTAAAAATCAAAGAAATAAAAAGGGAAATAAATAAAAAAAAATGGAGTAATAGAATAACTCTTAAAATATTCTAGAAGATGTATCCATCATTATTAATTTTATTTATTATTATAAAATCTTTTTTTTAAATAAACAGTTAATGAAATCTAACTTGAAAGCTCTAACTCATATTGACTTACAGTTAAAGTATGAAATATATAAATATAAATATTTATTCATTAATTCATATTTAATCATAAATTTTTTATAAATAAAATTTTTTAATTTTTTCTCTTTTTTATTACAAAATTAAGAATAAATAAAATTTAATCTATTTGATTCATTCATTCATAATTTATTCTTAGATTAAATTCTTTATTATTATTAATAAAATAAATAGAAATTGTATTCTTAGTAATCAATAAGTTGCTTAACTTAACAACACTTTAGTATAATGTTAAAAATTAGAATCTTTAGTATTAAATCTCAAGTAATAATTTAAATTTATTATCTTAAATATTATAATTGATTAATTAATTAATTACTTTTTGCTATCAATCTAACACCTAGTAAGGAA